TCGATAAGGCGTGACCAAAATTTTTTTAATACAATCTATTACTCCTTCCAATCTCCCAATTCCATTATTAACATCAATTATTTTAAACATTGCTAATTAGTAAGTAGACTAGTTGCAATTTGAATAAAAAAAAATATTATTTAGTGTTGAATTAAATTAACAATTAAAAATAAAAAAATATAATTAATTAATTCAATTAATATACAGCTGAAAACTTTCACAGCAAATTACTAAAACTCCAGAAAAATGTGCGAACATAAAAGTCAAGTACGGCTTTGGGGCAGTTGGCTAATGAACGCTGACTCTGAGGTTAAAATTTGGCAGGGCACGAGTTCGATTGCAGTCTCAAAAAAGAATTATTTACAAATAATTAAATACAAGAATTATTAAAATATTATTATAAATATTATTATAAAATATTATTATATATTATTATTATTAAAATAATATAAAATGAATTTTTGTTGTTGTGGTTCATTACTGTTTGAAAAAAGCTCTTTAAAAATTATTTTAAACAGATTATTGTAGTCTTTTATAATTATGTATGTGTGTTTAGGTTCTTCTTTGCAACGCGGCCCTATTTATGTGAATTGCTGCACTGCAGAATTGCTTGAGTTATTATGAGCAATAACAGTTACTGCAGCCACAGCAACAGTAACAGCAACAACAACAAAAGTGAACAAAATGTTTTTGCCTGTCTTAAGTTGCTGCCACTCGTATTTATAGTTTACTTCCGTGATGCCAGTAAGTTGAAATGTAGCTTTGCATTTTTATTCGCCTTTCTTCTCAGCTGCTGACCCATTTGGCACCTTTGCATTGCAGTTTTGCTCATTAATGGAATATTCTTTTGTGGAGTATCATTTACAAGTGCAACACCTACACATACACCAACTCGCACACTCACATCTACACCAGCAAAAAATCTTGAACTTTCTTCTTTTTCCTTGCATTTCCTGCAATAGCGCCAAGCATTTATCACTTTTGCAACACTACGTTCGCAAGTGCAGCCATTATTTGTTGTTCCCGTTTTTTAAATAAATTCTTATCATTGTTAAGTTCTAAGTTTTTTCAACGATACTTGATAATTATAATACATAAATTTATTTGAAATTAAAAACTTTTAATTACTTTTTAATTAATTTTGTCTTCAATAAAATAATTCAAACGTAGGGAAGGAGAGCAAAAAACAAAAGCAAGTATTATTTCTTATTTCTTGAGTATTATAATTATTTGATCCTTCAAAAGAGGTTAACTTATATACTCGTTTTGATTTTTTCTTAAAAAAAATTTTATTTTATTCATTAAAATGAATGGCACAATATTACAACAAATTAATCCTTTATCACACAGTTCAATGCTTTTGCATGCACCTTGCCCGTTGCACGTTGCACGTTGCACTTTTGTATGTGGAGCACGGCGGACTGAAAACTTTAAGAAATTAATTTATGCAAAATTGACTTTCACATCTCAACATAAAAATATGCAACGAATAAATGCAAGAATAAATTTAAGTTTACTTATCCGAAATAATTCGTAAATATTATAATTAAACGTAGAGGAATTTGCTGGATTGTGTAGAGTGCAAAAATTTTTTTTTTGGAAGAAAACAATCCTAAATTAATAGGCACGTACATAGGGTACTTCATATTAATAACCATTAATTAAACATTTTCTAAATAAATGCCTGCGAAAAATCCTAGAAATATGGTGACCATACCACATATGAAATGCAGAACTTTTGCTCCAAACAAATCAGAAAGCTGCTGTAACCGAAATAAAAATGCGTCAATGGAATTGGGTATGGCATATTATCCGACAAGCTTTGACATGGAACCCACAAGGCAACAGACGCCCTGGTGCATCAGCTATAACTTGGAGAAGGACTATTGAAAGAGAAGTGTAGGAAGCGCACTACACATGAAACGATATATACAGAGAAGCCCGAATAGAGTGCTGTTTAAAAGAATTATTGCGGCGCTATGCCCCACTAGAGGAAACGGATACTAAGAAGAACAAAGAATTTGGAGGACAATCACAGAGAGATGAAAAATTAAAAAATTAAAACCAGCAAACAAGCTTTAAGGATTTTTTTAAAGCATTTTTAAAAATTTAAAAGGAAAATCAAATATTTGCACAATTTTGTGTTGATAACTTTTAAACACTTTTAAAGTTTTTGTGACTTATCCTTTTTTCAGTGTTAAATTTTATATACATATAAAAATGGTAATCTTTTTTATAGTTTCATAGATCGAAGAATATATGGTGGTATCAATGGTGGAATATATGGTGGTATCTATGGTGGAATATATGGTGGTATGGCGTAGTGTACACCTCAATACAAAAAGTTTAATGTATTAAATTTAAACTAATGTTATGAACGTTCATCAAGAGGACTATAATTGTAGTATCAGAACCATTTTGTGAACTTCCTACATATCATGCTGCTTCAGTACTTGGAAATGTCAAAAAATGTGATTTCCTAAACTACCAATAAGAAGAGAGTTTTTCGGTTTAAAACGATTTACAAGTAAGTGAATTACTGGTTTCTTAATAGAATGGATTTCTATTAACCAAATTCAACTATATCTAAATGAAAATAAAAATTAATTTTTTTAAAATTTGCCACAAAAAATTATGTCTTAACTAATAAGATGTGGCAACCATAGGTCATCCAGACGAAGAGCAATGTCGCACCCTAATTGATTCCAAACTTGACTTACTCTATATGTAAAATATTTCGTATTAAATGACTAAATATGTGTGTAGAAATCATTTTAATACTGCTTAAGGACAAGATGGAATTAGTACTTCAAATAAAGACTATAAAAACAAAATAAGAGAATTTTCTTTTCAAAGATTCAATGTCTTTATTATTGTACCTTAATAATTGAAAACTTTCCTAAAAAAATAATTTTAAGCATTACAATGCCATAATCAATTCAGTTTTAAAGTTCATACGAAAGAATTTCTGACAATAATAAATTGCAGCAATTAGTCATTTGCATTACTTTTCTCATTAAATAGTTTTTTAACTTTAAACGAAATTTAAGCAAAACTCTATGGCACTGAATTAAATATCAAAACCCATTGCCTTCAAATTTAAAATATAACATCTGATATATTCCACTCATAACACAAAAGCGATATATTGCTGTATTCAACAGTATAAGTCAGCAAATATTGCAGGCACTCACACGCTTAATAGCCAAGAAGTATGCAACGAAGTACGCAGCTTTTCAGAAATGCAACAGAAATCTGAAATCACAACTGAAAAATGAAAGATAATATTTTGCTCATAAGAATCGTTCAAAATCTGTGGAAAAGATACATTTATAAATATGTACGAACGCTTCAGTAAAATCAGTAACTCCACGTACTTGTATGCATGCCAGTTTATGGGGAGTATGCGAGTATATAGGAATGACAAAAGTCCTTTTAAATTTGATGTCATTTAATCCCTTTTATATTTTTCTTAAACAGTAATTTTTTTTGGTTTTTTCTTGTACAAACATTGTAATTTTTTGTGTGAGTCTCTCCTCCAGACGCAGTTACTTGCAATGCAGATAGCAGCTTATCTGCTGTGCTTGCAGCCATGAATTAGTAGAGAAGGCTTGGTGCCAGCAGTGGAGACGAAACTGCACAGATTTTCTACAGAGCATGCAACTCAAACAGTAGCCAATGTAACAATGATTGCATGTGTTATATTTTTTATATCTACAAGGTTTAGTTGAGATAAGTACAGCGTTCAGTGCCGATATCTACTTCAAATACATTTAGACAGTTTTTCATTGTAACTTAGATATAAGGGCTCTTTCATGTATATTATGTTAGCATCTTCCATCGTATTACTATGTAAGAATTTCATAGCTATGTGTAACCTGATCTCCTTATATCTGCAATGCAACTTATTTGAATGCGTAGTTAATGATGTGGAAAGGAAACGGAGAATTCGGTTTTTATCGCATCAAATTCAAAACAAATATTTTAGATAACTTACAAATATATTTTAGTATTTAGAAATAAATGATTATTTTTTAATCTATCTCTAAACGCTTAATACTTTCATGCTACATAAGTACTGCATTTCACTTTAATTAACAAAATAATAAATCAAAATATATAAAAAATGTTTATGCAAGTTAATTCAAAAAACTTCGGCAAATCCTCAATTCTTTCAAGCTACCTAATGAAGACGTGGTTTTACAGGCTGATACTTTAACAATTAGAGAAGTTTGTTTATAAATAGCAAGTTAGTGAAGGATAAATGTAGTGTTGCCATTTTCATTTACAGACAGACAATGGCCAGGCATTCAACGGACTAAACCGGTTGTCTGACATCACTCGTATATGAGTCTCTGCATATAGGAATATTGAAGGAAACGAGAAAGCTCTCAGTTTAGCTCGCTCTGGTTTATGTTTCTCATTAAAAGATAAGATTAAGACCATTAAGGGAAACACTTACCTCTACTTTCTTCAGCTTGCCAATAACAAATGGAAGGCACTATAGTCATGTGCAACTTCCTGATTAACATAAGCCACCTATAATAAAAGTAGATCTAATGAACTCATTAAAAGAGCTCGAGTAAACACTGCAAGGCAGAGAAACTGTGCATTCCTTATAATCCATTAAATAAACCACTAAATAAATAAACCATTAAATACTTTCATAAGGTGTATAAAGAAGGTATTTCATTGACAGCTTATCAGACTGTTCATTGGTTACGCCGAAAGACCTATTAAATTATCTAAATTCGACGGGATAGATTTAATCTATATTCTATTTTAAGAGTTCTTGCTAAAAATGTAGTAGCAAAACGGCGAAAAATCTATAATTGAGATGCATGGAAAGTTATCTGAGAGCCTACCACTACAAACAACTAACCAGAACTATTCGAATATCTATAGTCAGAATTAAAAAAGTAACCTTTGTAATAGCTATAAGAAGAAATTTATTATATACGATTTAAAATTAAAATTTTTATTTTTTATGTATGGAGAAAATTTAATAATTCATTTCTAAATTCAGTGTCATAAAACACTACAATAGACTTTCTAATTGAAGCGGACCTTAAGTAATGGCTGAGAAAGATGCTACAAATAACGTTGGCGATGGAGTGCCATCACGACCATCACAACCAACACCACAAACACAACCATCTCAGCCATCACAACCAATCCAGCCCCAACAACCGCCGCAAGCTCAACCAATACAATCATTTCAAGAACCAGAAACACTGCAATCACCAGAAGAATCGAAGCCAACGGAACAATCACAACCATCACCAGAAGAGCCTGTTGTGACATATGATATGTCAGGAGTTGTGACTCCTGAACAATTTGCTGAATTTAAAGAAGCTTTTGGTCTTTTTGACAAAAATAATACTGGTATCATTCAAAGCAAAAATCTGGTTCTCGTCATGCGATCATTAGGCGAAAATCCTTCTGATTTAGAAGTACAAGAAATGCTCAAGGAAGTGGATCCAGAAAGTACCGGTTTTATTTATTTGGACTCATTTCTTGCTATGTTGGAGCGTCAAATAAATGAATATGATGAGGAAGAAGAACTCCGTGAAGCTTTCCGTATTTTTGATAAAGACGGAAATGGTTTCATATCACCTGAAGAATTACGACAGATTATGATTAACTTGGGCGAAAAATTAACAGACGAAGAAGTGGATGAAATGATTCGTGAGGCTGATATAGATGGTGATGGTCAAATTAACTACGAGGAGTTCGTTACCATGATGAGTGACAAAGATTAAAATTTTAAAGTCAATATCCAAATTTCCATGATGAATGGCAAAGATTAAAATTCTCAAGTCAATATCCAAATTTTATTATACATATTTCACGTCATTTTATATATTGCCAGTAATATATTAAATTTATATTTCTTTATGCAATATAAATTAAATGATTTTCACAACACTGACATATCAAGTCCTAATTTTTTTATTTCTTCAATCTTCAATAAGAGAGAATATCCATACCGAGACATGCGTTAATATCAAGTCAAGAGAACCTAATCCAAGGATATAGGTATCTAGAACTATTTGTAGATTATTCATATTTAATTGTATTAAATAATTTAAACTAAATAATCTCACGATGGAAGTTATTTTGAAAAGTAATCTGTTAAGAGGATGGAATTAGCAGCAAGTTTTAAACACCAAGGAATATGAGTCATAAGCTTTTTTGCCTCTAATTATGTTCTAAATTTCGATTAAAATTACGTAGTCACAGTGAATATAAAGTTCTACTGTAGCACTGAATATCAAATTTCAACCATAAGTCAAGATAGAATTAGAAGTCAATATGTTATTTCGTTTTATGTGAAAGTATGTCTGCACAAAAATAAGTTTAAAATGAAATCAAGATACTTTCATGTCTGAAAAGAATTTTTATATTATCGATTACGGTACGTGATGTCTTAAATTTGAAGTTGCTGACAAACACGTTTCTGTAGGTGAGGGAGTACCTCTTCTCTTCGTATGTACCCACATCCTTATCGATAATTCGTTTCATGTGTGCTTGCACGAGATGTACATTTATCTACTTGTGTACTTATATTACGTGTTACATGCAACCTAAAGCATTGACTTAGTTGTATCTACTGCATGCATGTTTGGATACAGGCAGCGTCTGGGTGTATTGTTCAGATATGGATATTGATATTGTACCAGTGTTGTTCGTATTTGTTAATGTGATTTTCAACAACCTTTCCATGAGTATTGACATCGAAATTAAGATAACTGCACGTCCTTGCACATTCTCACAATATATAAATATTTTCTCAAAAATATTTATTATTTGATTTCTGCTAAACTGACTTGTGTGTTTGTCGAAAAATAGTTATAAATTTGTAATATTAGTTTCTCTCATTAGGTTTTTACCACTAATTTTCCTTCACCTAACCAATTATGAGACGTGTAAGATTTGTTACTATAGTGAAAACAAAAAATAATAAGAATATATATTCAATCTCTCCTATATCTGAATATGTCTATTTTAGTGACTAAACCTCCAGTTATCTGCGAACTGGATCTTTGAACCCATGTCCAAGGTATATTGCCTAATAACAATACCCGGACACGGTTTAGGCTAGTCACCGGAGAAACGCTAAAAACCAAAAGGTAGATACTTAGCTGTACCGACTATAACCTATCTGATGACTTACTTTACCCGCATCCGCAAACTATCGATAAGAAACGAAAATTGTACGATTAGAACTATACAGTACATAATGAAATGTGATCAAATATAAATCAATAAATAAATAAATGTAATAAAATTTAAATAAAAATATCAAATATACAGTGCAGTCTCCGTACGTCCGCATTTCTTTGTGCGAGAGACTACAATAACAATAGATATTTAAAAGTCATTAGTAGTCCTCTACGCGTTTCGTCTGGGAACTACCCAGGCATATCAAAGTGAAGAAGTCTGTGTGGAGAAATATGTGTGGAGAAGTATGTGTGGAGAAGCATGTGTGGAGAAGTCCATGTGTGTCAAGCAAAAAGCGTCTACTGTTGTTGTGCATTATTTCATCATATTGGAGCTAAACCACTTTAATTATTAAGTTTTTAGAAAATTGGGGTATCTAAAAAGGGTTTTAAATTTTCGAATTTGTATGAAAGAGAAGCATTATTTAAAACTTGTGTTATTAAATCTCTTTGTTGAAAGTCGCTAAAATTTAACGTTTACGAATGTATTAATACAAGTAAATCATTTTATCTCCTCTCTGTAACTGCTATGATAGTCATAATAAATGGGACTACATATCTTAACGTGGTCAACATCGAATACTAATAAAGATATTTTTAGTACTGAAACAACTTTTGATTCCTGTTTTCTCTTTATATGTGCGAGAGTTTTTGTTTCATCAAAATTTTGTTTCTATCAATACTTGTATTTAATTTAATAACTGATTATAATGAATGCAATTTACCTTCTAAAAGATAGTAAGTTAAAAATTACGTGTTGCACATTTTGCTATTAGAAGAGAGGTGACTCAGTGAGATACTATATCACTGAGTCACCTGATACTATATCACTGAGATACTATATCATTGAGTAAATATGTGAATAACTTAAATCTATTTCTTGAAAATTTTTCTTTCAATTCAACACATTTGATTCACAATCATGAAATGTATGGGCTACATTCGAAATAAATAAGCTATTATTTGCTAGTAAATTTCTTTCTTCTCAAGCATTTCTACAGGTTTGGTTATGTGGAATATTTTCAGAAAGCAAAATCTGTCGTGGAGGAAGGGCTTGATTGGAGAAAGCAATTTTTAAGGAAATTCACGAAATTCGTAATGGTTAGTATGTATTTTTATACCTGTACATTATCTTGATGACCCTTTCTTTGTCCATTCCAAAAATTGGATTATTATTATAAAACGTCCAAAAGTGTCAATTCGTCTCCAGTATTTCACATTATCTAGAACAAACCATCTTTTTTGGCTGATGTCCAAACTCGTATAATTCAAATTGGAATCAGAATTTTGAATGAATTTTTCATTGAGTCATCAAAAAGTTACTGGATTTTGCAAGAGAAGACAATTTAAGAACTTTAGGAGAAAAAATTGGTCAAGCTCTAAGCACAATATATCACATAAAAAGATAATGATTTATGTATAGAAAAGTGAATTCATATTATAAGTTTAAACTCCATAATTCATAATACTCTCAATGGACTGAAGCAAATTATGCAAATAAACTCAAAATAATGTTTTCTAGTCTTCCTCTATTGTTAATAATTCACTGTGTATAAACAATGCCAATGGAGCTTATGTGCAATTACTAATTTTTATATTGAAGGCGAGAAAACTTCGCAAAATTGCCAACAACAGTCAGAGCACAGTCGAAGTTTTTTTCCTAACAGCTATAGGTTAGATGCTTTTCCTTTACCTTTTCTTTAATATGTCACAAAAGCGTTTATTTACGCCATTAGTTTTACGAAATTCTTGGATATTTGCCAAAAATAAATTCGTTTTTTTCTGCCAAATCGAAGATAAAACGTGCCAGAATCGGTGTGAGCATGAGGCTTACGAAAATACCTCCTAAGTACAAGAAGGAGGACTTTGGGTGCATAAGCATCAGCCAAAAGCGAAATTATTTTTCAATCCAAAAGCGGGGAGTACGTGACATTTCACCCAAAAGGAGCTCAAAGCGAAATTTCCAACACAAAAGCTATAAAAATTGCAAGCAAATAATGGAATATATGTTCATGTGCATATATCTATAAACAAAATAATATTAACATATTCTGAAAAACTACGTTCATATAAGTTCTGGTGTATAACAACAACAAGTACACTTAAAAAAACATTAGAGTAAATATAACTTAAATTTGAGCAAATTTTATAATGTGAATATATTTCAATATATTTTTTTAGCTGTCCTGCTTTAATTTTTCTCTCTTTCTTCTCTCTTTTTAATATGTAAAAACTTTTAGCCAACACTGGTTTCCACAAGTAATCAAGATATTATTGGTTGTATTAGACCTAGAAGGTACTTTACAACCGAAGTATCTAATTTTTTGTGAAAAAATAAAGAATCCATGACATATCAAACATACGCAAAGGATATTATTTCTTTTCTTGCACTTGGTGGAACTGATATAAATTTTCCAAATGAGAGAGACTTCAGTCCACTAAAATTCGCTCTTAGGAATAAATAGTGAAAAGATTTTAAACAGTAGTGAAGCTACTGCACATAGAATTGTATAGCAAATTAAATCTGATACTCATACGAATATTTTAAGATACATAACGTCAATGTTTTTTGAGTAACGAAAAAAATCCAATTATATAGAAATACTTTCATCTTTAATTAACAACTAGAAAGTTATTGGTCAGGCATGTCTCTAAAAATGCATATCTTGAATTCTCAAGTGGACTCTTTCCCTTTGGATCTCGAATCTTATCACAAAAAGTAATGAACAAGCTCAGTACTGATTCCATCAGCATATTTCTGCAAGGAAAAAAGATATCAAAGATATTGGGATGCAAGCCTATTGGGAGATTATTGTTGGACAATTATGGAAGAAATAAATCCTACACTCTATAAGAAGTTTGCCGAAAGCACACATGTACCTCAATATAATATATAAATACACTTTTCAAAAAATTTCCAAAAAATTTTTTCTGTATTGGTTTGACTTATTGATAAAAACCATTATTATTATTCGATTTTTATATTTAGCCACTCAAAACGTTTGTATTAAAATAGTCTTTAACATCAATAAAAAAATGAATTTTAATATTTCTATAACATTTGTAACTAACGCAATTAATCTAATTAATTCACAACTTTCAGTTTAATTTCATGTGCAATACTATATGCAATAACTTTACTAATAAATATTATAGAGACATATCCGGAGTGCTATGTCAAAAAAAAAAAAGAGGGAAAGAGTGGTTTCTCAGAAATAATGGGAAAACCGCAGACAAGCAAAAACAATCCTTGTGATTTTTTATTTTAAAGAAAAATTTCACTATAGATAATAAAGGTTTCGCCTTAAGAAGACTAAATTTTTGACTGACGTAGCTGACTAAAAATGCCAATTATGGAAAAATAATGCAGGTATAGGTATAGTTAGGTATCATCTATACCATATCCTTCCTGAAAATAGGAAAATATTTTTTTAAAAAATATTGGGAAAGTTTTTTAAAAGCTTTGTTTTTCATGTGACTCACCATAAACATATTTAATTTTAAAATTCAAAACAACACAACAAATTTGAGTCAACAACCCGACATATCCGAAAATGGATGTTCAAATAGAGGGAAACCTGCAGAAAGTGCATATCATCAAGAAGCTAAATTTGTATTATTTTTCTTGAACTGAAAAACAAGA